TTCAGCTCTCAGATCAAACTGCTCTCAGCTGAAAGAGCTGAATCTGAGTGACAATGACCTGCAGGATTCAGGGGTGAAGCTGCTCTCTGCTGGACTGGGGGATTCACACTGTACACTGGAGATACTGAGGTCAATATTACTGGGTATTCTACACTGTAATGTGTAATTACTGAAATCTTTATTGAATTCGTCACATTTAGTTAAAAGTAATACTCATAGTGGTGAGGTGTTTTTATTTATTGGACAGATATTGTCTGTCTCTCTGCAGGCTGCCATTCTGTAGAGTCACAGAAGAAGGCTGTTCTTCCCTGGCTTCAGCTCTGAGGTCAAACCCCTCTCACCTGAGAGAGCTGGACCTGAGCTACAATCACCCAGGACACTCAGGAGTGAAGCTGCTCTCTGCTGGACTGGGGGATTCACACTGTACACTGGAGATACTGAGGTCAATATTACTGGGTATTCTACACTGTAATGTGTAATTACTGAAATCTTTATTGAAGCCGTCACATTTATTTAAGAGTAATACTTATATTGGTGAGGTGTTTTTATTTATTGAAGAGGTATTGTCTGTCTCTCTGCAGGCTGCCATTCTGTAGAGTCACAGAAGAAGGCTGTTCTTCCCTGGCTTCAGCTCTGTGGTCAAACCCCTCTCACCTGAGAGAGCTGGACCTGAGCTACAATCACCCAGGACACTCAGGAGTGAAGCTGCTCTCTGCTCTACTGGAGGATCCCAGCTGTAAACTGGAGAAACTGAAGTGAGTACAGAATGTGTGTCTGCTCCTCCTATAGGCTCATGTATGTGGAGAAAGTACAGTACAACAATTAAATAAATGGATACAGCAGTACTATGTCATTCTGCTTCTGATATAGTGTGGACTACAGAGGAAAGTGCAGGACCAGACCAGGGATCCAGAAATGTAAGTTTGTTTCCATGCTTTTATGCTTAATATCATTAATACTACTTTATGAAAGTATTCACACAATTATTGTGATGTGTGTCTGCTTTTTTCATTTCTTTTTTGTGTTTAAGATGACTACTTTCTTAAATAACAATGGGAGTCTGGGAACTTCTGTAGTAGTACTGTTTTGAGATTTGTTAGGATTGTCCTAAGACAGCACCCGTAATCTCCCCAAACTGGCTGTGACACTGAATGTCTCCTCAGTCTGCGCTAGTGATGGGAATTTCGGCTCTTTTTAGTGAGTCGGATCATTTGGCTCAGCTCACCAAGAAGAGCCGGCTCTTCTGGCTCCCAAACGGCTCTTCATTTTATTACTTCTGCCTCAGCCAGATTCAGCGCTGTTATGACGCATGATTGATATGTGAACTAAACCTTATGATTTCCTCAAAACCATAATTTTACATTATGTTTGGTATAAAAAGATTAAATGTAAAAATCTCAAACACTACTACACGTGTATTGAACATTATGTTGGTGGAAAATCTGTTTTTCTCTTTGATCTATTAATAACAGTAAAATAACATAAATAACAAATCATAATAAAAAAATATTATAAGTACAAAGTGTAAAACACCAGCATCCAACAGTTTTAGTATCTATCCACTTTAACAACTATCTATCACCTTTCTAACAGTGTAACATTTTAACATTTCCTTTGGGGCAGAAAGGCTAAGTGCCTCAGCTTAGACGGGCTGATCCGGCTTCTGGCAGTAGCAGGCACGCTAACCTGTCTTTTTCCTTCCATTTGAACTGTTGGATGCGCAGTTCCTAAGTGTCTG